GAAAAGAGGAGTTACATTTACAAAAATAAAGCAACTAGTCGCCACTTGTGTCATTAGACTGTTTACATGACACTGTAATACAATACTCTTGAGAGCAACAAAGAACGGCATAGAAATAAGCCTACTTAACCCCTGTTCTGAGAATACGATGTGGAATTTATCAACTTGTGTATCCTACAGTGTTTACAATGAGAATTCCCCAGAGTAATAAGATTGCACTTTGAATCTGTGAAAACAGTTATTACAGTATATAGTTTGGAGTTGATCAAATAAACATCTCAAGTGTTTAAATTGGTCATCCTTCTGGGATGCTTGGAATTTAGCAGCATACTGTACAGGCATATAAAGATAAGTGCCCGTATAGAGAATGAGACTAAAGACTGCCCTCAATTCTGAATATCAAGGCAACCGTTATTGCAAGATTTATTTTGGTTACAAATAGAAGAGAGAGAGAGAGAAGAAAAAAAAAGACTGAAATGGTCTGCCCTTTATGGCATGGTGCCCATTGTTTTGATGTGCCTGTTAATAGAGGTTCTACTGTATATCCGTAATCAGCATTTTAAGTGAAAAGACAAAACTAAATCTTTAGTGAAAACTTTTTTATTATCTTGGAAGAGTACCAACAGTAGTGTTATAAAACTTACCACTAGATTATTATCTGAAACTCACCCTCAAAACAGTTTATTTTCTGTAATAGGAATGATTTGAAGCATATGTTTAATTACCATAAGGCAACTAATGAAATTATCACATGAACACAGACAACATTTGTGGAATGTAACCAGTTGTGTTTGAAGACAGCTATTAAATTGTTACAAAGGATATTATTGCACATCTCTTACATCAGAAACTAAGAGTGAAATAAAACAAACCTAATTATATTCAAAATTCATCCAATGTACATTTTGACTAATCACTTAAACAACTAGAAACATGACTATTCAAACATATTAATTTTAATGAAGTAAACAGGATCTTATTACTTTATTAAAATAAGTGACTGGTTTCCCTTTTATTTAGTTAAAGTAAAACTTTTCTTAATTAAAATAAGATAAATCAGATCTATCTATATAAATGTAGGTAAGCCTTAATTCAGCATCAGTTTGCTGAATAATCTTATTTTTACCATTTGTAAAAGATCATCATAACCTTTAAGTCGTACAATATTTTCAGTAAACAAATAAAGAATTGCAGTAAATATTAAAAAAACAACAACAACAGATTACAGTGTTGTTTTAGGTGCAGCTGAAAACTAAGAATATGGCTGAATTTTATAAACGTTTCTTTTTTTTCTAGTAAAGTTCATTTTCAACCGTTATTACTAATGTACTTTTATACATTTTACACTACTTGTAAAGAACATTTCTGAAGAGCTTATGATCTAGTTTTTTACTCTACAATTTTCTTTTTTAAAATCATTTCACCAATAGTTTCCTGATGCAGAAAATAAAAAAAAAATCAACACCTACTGGTACAATTCTTATCTTAATGTCAGGTTTCATTTTGTTTAGTTAAACACAAAGCTGCCCAATGAGTTACCTGCATTGTGCCAACTGCAGGAATAAAATCTACAGTTAGTGTTATAAGGAAGGGTTGGCAGGCAGTAATGTACACAGTATTATGTACAAATAAATTTACAGGAAACTTTCAAAGAAGTATTCTGAGGAATAACAGTCATGTACATATAAATTTATTCTAATGAGGTAAAATGATAAACATATGTGAACTTTTAAATTATTTCTTTAGGGTGATATACAAACCCACAAGATATTTCGGAATACAAAAGAAAAACATTGTACAGGAATGTGTGTGGTGGGGGTGGGGAGACTACCAGCTAGTATACAGTTTTATTAACATTTTAAGACTAAATGGAAAAAAAAAAAAATGTTACTTTCCAAATTTCAACTAGCAAACAAACACTCCTTCTACATCATGGTCACTATGATTATGATGATCACCTGCAACAAATTTTTACTTTTTATATACATAAGCTTGATATTGATAAAAGCACACGTTTAAAGAGCTTCATCACTTGTATCTGCAATATGTCATCAAAATACAAATTCTTCAGTAAATGTAATGTTATTTAAATTTATCTTATCAACATTTCATAATAAATATAAGTTATTAATGTCAATCACCAGTTTAGTGTTTTATCTGTTTCACTTAATTTTTGTTTCATAAAAAAAAAAGTTTTAAATTAAGTCACAAGTAGTAGTCAAATACATTGTATATTTATGTTGATTATTTTAGTGTATTTACTTTATTTTTCTTTGTTTTAGTCTATGCAAAGTCATATAATTAATAGCTAATTTATTGAAACCATAAACACTCAAACTCAAAAATCAATGCCCCCCCAAGTGACACAACAGTACGTCTGAAGACCTATACTGCTAGAAAGTTGTTTTGATACCCGTGGTGGGCAGAGCACAGATAGCCCTTTGTGCTTAACTACAAGCAAACAAATAATTAAGCAACTAGTGCAAAATTATAGAGTTTGTAAAAATATTTGATAAACAAATATTTGGACTTTTAAACAGAAGTAGATGAATTTGTTGCTTGGTTTCACAACTAGTGACTGGAAGTAAGAAAAAGTTTCAACATCAAGTAACTTGAAGTTAGAGGTGTACTGCTTTTCATCACTACCATTTTTCTAAGCAAATAAATTTTTAAAATGGTTCAAAGCAACTACATCAATTTTACCATATCACTATAAACCTTCCTTGGGTTGGTTTGATTATTTCAAATATTATAAATGATATAAACGCTGACTATTTTTGGCTTACTTTCACTTTAATCATCCTGTTACTGTTTGTGAATCGTGAGAGCCACTATACCAACAGTGCTGCAGCCAGACAAAAATTTAAAAGCAAAGAAATGTGTAACTTGTAGTATTCTATCATATAAATGTAAAAATTGTGTGCATATACTTATAACCAAGCTTCTTTTATAAAAAGTAGGTATTCCCATGATAGTAACAATACTTAACAAATAAATTCAAGCACCAAGGATCAGATATTTTGTATAATGTAGAAAAGCCAATAATCAGTCAGAAATGTTAACAGTTGTTAATATATCTCTCAAGGTTACATGTTAACATGAAAAAGCACAAGACTGATTGCCTCCTGTAATCCTAACACTAAGAGGAGCCCCAGTCTTAAGAGCTGCATAAACACTACCAACCAATCAAAATCCAGTATAAAAAAAAAACATTCTGAACATGGTAGTGTTATGAAGAAGAAACATTATATATAATTTTTTTGGGTGAGGAGGTAAATCTTGTCTCTTAATCTAATTTAATTAGTTTAATAGTAATCTAACTTTAATAAAAGCCAGTACATGCAAAATTAGACCTATATTAATGCCTTCAGACTTTGAATCTTAGGTTTGCACTTTGTTACAGTAAAAGAAAAAGTGTTGTGCACTTTGGGGTTATGGGTACATTACAAGTGACAGTCAAAATTCACTGTTTGAGTAGAGTAGCACACAAGTTTGGGGGGGGGGAGTGGTGTTGACTAGCTGCCTTCCCTCTAGGTTATGACTTTAAAATTAGGGTTGGCTAATGCAACTAGCACTTGAGTAATTTTGTGCAAAATTCAACGAGCAAAAAATTCTTGAGAATTACTAAAAACTGTAAGTCAACATATATATTTATACAAGTTGTTCATTAAAAAATTTCTTCAAGGAGTTACTTTGTGTACTAAATCTGTCTAGAAGGTTTCTGTTGACACTGAGTTGCTAGTGCAGTTGTTCATCAGGTTGGACTGTGCTAGTAAATCAAAACTCATCCAGTATACAGATGTCTTTAATAAATTAATATTTTCTCTCAGATAAAAACTATTTATTTTAGCTACTATTCTGACATTAGAAGCAGGTATAAATACTTTAAGCATCCTAGTGGTTATAATACATGTGTTCTAGAGATAATTAAGAAAAATCATATAGCAGAAATAAAATCCAAATACAGAGTATGAAGGAAGTGAAATATGCAGTAATCAACCATATAGTGAAAGACCAACATGGGCTGTGATAATTCATCTTGGGTGTTAAGCTGCTCTAAAGTTACACTGTCAAAGCTGTTTAATGGGCTTTCAGTGGCACAAGACATTGTTGGAGAGGATTATATTAACTTTCTTTTGTACTATGATGTTAAGTTCTTAAAGAACACATTTTTCTCTAACTTATATTCTGTTCTTTCTTTATTATTATTACGTCATTAACAGTATTTTGCTTTGTTAGCTTAGTATGTGGATTTAGGACTAACCTAATTTTCCTAAGCTGGCCAAATATAATGAGATATTACTGCCAAAAATATCAGTAACAGCAAGGGTGCCTAACTGATGAATCAATGTATTCTAATCATTATGAGTAAGAACAATTATTAAATAAATAAATTATAATCGATTTTCAGTTCTGACCTATGTAGGTAACTTGCTTCAAATTTAATATTAATTACACATACATTTATTTCTTCCTAAAGCAACTCCAGTGAGTTCTCTGTATTTCAAAACTGAAGAGTACTTGATGACTTTAAATAAACATTTTTGTGTAATGTTATATCTGAACATTGCAAAGTATGACCGATATATAATATTTTAAGGCATACTAGTTACTGACTGTAGAAGCCACTAGGTTGTACTTTATACACATTTCATGAATATTTGTGGAAAAATTTTAGCTGTTTGAACTGCATTTCCCTAAATAAATTTCACACAAATATATGTGTACATTGCTGTTAGTAAAGCATAACTTAGCTATACTAATAGTATACATAACAAATAGAACACTACAAGCTAATATAAAAGAAAGGGTCAAGTTATGTGATAATATTTCTAAAAAAAACCCATTAAAAATAATAGGAGATTCCCAAAACCAGACACATCTTCTGAGATAAAAAGTTTATTATCTGGTTAAAATAAAAAGAAATTAGGTAAATTAATATACATAGTTTATTAACTATGGTCTCCATATTGGCACTTAAAATGGTCCTACTGTTATATTTCATTTGTGTCTTTTAAGAAAATAAGATATACTTTACAATTCATACTTCATAAAAGTCTACAAAAGGGACAAAAACATGCACATGACTATTTTACAATGCAATATTTAAGTAACTCATCACAGTAAAATGATTGTCAGGAAAGTAACAACCTAATCAGCTAAAAGGCTGTGTTTACAACTTCACTGATGCCACTTCTTCCAATACATTTACTAAACCTGAAGATACCCTCTGGTTACCATAGGTAGACATTTTATGTCTCTCCTGAGATAACATGGGATAGTTTGATAGTGGAAGATTGTGTTCCAGACGATAGGCTTCCCAACGATCATCATCCGATTCATGTGTTAAATATCTGATTCCAACTTGAGCTTCTAACTCTCTTAAGTCACACCACAACTGATAGTCCTGATGATTAAAAAAAAAATTCACATTGTGCTATTTTATTTGCACATTTTGATGTGGCAAATGAAAAGTTAAAGTAAAAATGATGGGAAAACTGTTTATTAAATAATTATTTAAATCACACATACAAATTTGACTATATTTCCTAAATTATAATACTAGTTAAAAGGTATGCAACTAAGAAAATTTCTACTGTCATTTCTTTGTTGTTCTTTTATTATAATCTAGCATTATTAAAAATTACACACCTTTTGAAATTACCAAATTCTTGATTTTTCATTCTTCATATGTAAAACTTGATAAGTTAACTTTTATTAAAATATGAGAAACTCTGAGGCTAGATAATTGAATCATTAAGTGACAGAAAACAAAATCCCTCTAGGTTAGAAATGAAAAAAAGTATTTATTATAATATATATTCAGGTAAAAACAACAACAACTAACTAGCTAGCTACTTAATGTGAACTATGAATAAAAACATGACCTATCAAGCTAGATATTTAGTTTGTAAAGAAACATCAAATGGTGACACTCGCATATGAATGTTATACAAAAACAGAATCATTAACTTGATTTTGATAAAATGCCCTTATTACATTATGGTGTCATCATAAACATGGCTGAACCAGCTAAGCAGTGGTTCTCAAACTGAGGGTCCCAACTTAATGGTAGGCAACAAGAGATCTCCAAGTGTGTCTTAGAATAAGACACAGTAAAACAAATATATTTTTATTTAAATAATGATTCAAGAATGCTTTTCAACAAACATCATAAGAAATCACAGAGATATGTTAGACTAGTAACTGATCCCCCCTTCTTCAAACAAACTTGATTCCCAGAAAATTGTCTGGCTACTCAGATGAGTCGTGGGTTGAGAAAGTTTAGGAGCCCTTATTTACAGTGATCCATGAAAAACAGAAAAGGAAGACATAACATGAATGATGTTAAGTGAAAAATCAGAACTTATAGTCAGGTGAATGTAATTTCTAAAAGCAACTCAAGGATAGAATGGATGGGTTTCTATCAGATATAGCAAAGTAACTTGAACAACAGAAACATAACTCACTCAACATCGTCTAGTTTTGTCACTGAAAGGTAAAATAATATTGTCTACTTACAAAGAACATAGCCCACAAAGGCATAAAAACACAATGTCAAGTAGGATATTGTGGCAGAGATAGCTTGTTTATGCAGAGTATAAATAAAAGTTCAAAGGATTTAGAGTACAAGCTCTGGATTGGAGAAGTGAAGAATGGTCCAGAAGATGTGCAAGAATTGAGCTGTAACTCATAATAAAATATTACCCAAATATTGTTTCTCTTACCACAGTAATACCTAGGTGATGCAGCAAAAATGCATGCAAATAATAGTCAGAAGCTACCTCTTAATAAACCTCATATTTAATGAGTTGCAGGAAATATGAAAGTCATCAACATGAAGGCACTCTGAAATTGGAGAGAAAGTTGTTCTTGATAGCATTAATATTGAGAGAAAAAAGTATGACACTCAAAACAAGATCTTGAGGAATGTCCAGATTCTGTATGAAAGAATGTGAAAGTGTAGAGCCAACAAAGATCTTCTGTTTAAAAATTTATGGATAAAAATATTTAAATCATGCAAATCATAAGAATAAATGTCTTGTAAAATGTCATATTTCCATGTGGTATTATTCCTATGTGCACATGTAGGGGTTAAAGTGTGCATTTTATGACCTTTTACAGAGTGCTATTCACCATGTTATGTATTTGATGTCAAGAGTTATCAACTATTCATTTTACTCTACATTGCTGAGTTAATGACATTTTGTAGTAGAGGAGAGTAAATACCAGATACATTATATAGGGATACTGAAAAGAATTGTAGATACACATTTCAAAGTTCAAGAAGCTGTGCAAATACAATGTGCAAACTGTATGATGAACAAAAGTATTTTTAATTTTTACATGAACATCATTGTGCACTCTGACTTCTCAGAGTCTGAGTCAGACTGGTGTCATCAGTTCACAGATACATCTGGAGTAAAAATACTTATTTTTTTAAACACATTTCATTTTTTGTGTACAACAGATTCATGCTTCTTACTAAAAGCTTGAGACATTCCGTGAAGATACACATAGTAATTTCGGAATTATAGTCATCATTACTTTTCCAAGGGACCAAGCCCCTGCACACTGGATTTCATTTTAATATATATATATATAAAAAATGAAGTAGATACTATAGCGTAAAGACTTCTCTGATATAATTGATTCTTATCATGATCATGCCCTAGTGGGAGGGTGAAAGCCTTGATGGTTCTACTGAATAAATACAGCTATTATCATCTAGAACAATTACCAGGTTAAGGTTGTGAAGTTTTGAAGGCATTATCCTGGATCCTTTTTCACTTTGATAAACTTATAAATTTTTTTGTAGGACCAGTTTGGAAGTATGAGACCAACTCTCCCCATCACTGTGCAATGTCAAGACCACACGATGGTCCTATAGGTAGAACTTAAAAGCCCAGTGATAAAAATAGCCATGACAGTGGGTGGAGTAACAGGAGCTGAGAAAGCTTTCATACAGGGCAAATGGTAGTTCACAGTTAGATGTCTGTAACACAACAAAATGGTGGAATACACAGCTAAACCATAACTGTTTTGATACCTGTATTATGAGTTTACATACCTTAGTACAAGTGAAGCTATTCAACATTTTCAAATTTTACACCTCCTTTTCATCCTTTTAAGAAAAGTGCAAGGCATTACAGGTAAGGTATCTAATACTTACATAATAAAAATAAATGAAGACATTCCAAGCCCTAATATACGCCTGACAGACTTGCTGATAGGTAAAAGTCCACCAAGGGCAGGATTAAAGTTGCATGAACAATGCAATTAGTCACAGCTTCAAAAGCCTCATTGATAGATTGTCAGCAAACAATGGAAGGATCAATATTGTACATCTTACTCACAGAACACAAACATTAATGGTTTGCTTAATGCATTATTATAAAGTTTAATGGAAGGAGATATGCTATAATGTTCTGTTACAGCAAGTTATTTCTAATATCACAGTGTCTGTCCTGTATAACTGGAATTTATAGTGAATTGTTTTTTTCTTCTCACACTTACTTGCAACCAAGGATGGCATAAGGACTTGTCAACAGTGTAACGTTTTCTTGTTTTTACTTGTAGCAAATTCTGGATCAAGTCAACAGCTGTTAGGAAAGTTAAAATTGTACAAACTGGATAACTTATTCAACACCATATAACATATAAATTGCAACATTCATGAAGATTTTGATTTCATCTTTTAAACAGAAAATAATTGATTACATAACACTAAAGAGGTAAGTAAGCCACACCTCACAGAAATCTGTAACTATGATCCTGTGAGCATGATATTTTTCATAAAACTTATGTCAAGTTATAATAAAATATAATTAACAGTCTCTAGTCAAGTGTAAGACTTACTTAAAGCTTCTAGGTTGCTCAAATCTATATTACAAGCAGCTTATGTCTGCGTGTCTGTTTATTCATAATGAAAATTTAAATTTTCAACCTCTGATCATTATGAAACTTTCAATGTTCCTTGAGTATGCCCAAAGAGGGATTCTAAAACCCTTTACCTTATTCATTTTATCGAGTTTGGTAGCCACTTTAATTTCCCCCTTGCTATTCCTCGCAAACAATACACATGCACGCTATTAATCATTCCCATAAAGTCTATAAGATAAATACTATGTCTGGTGTGGGTACTTTTCAACAGTTATCATAAATGTTAGAAACTGTTTTCAAAGTTCAGTTATATTTCACAAAACTGCACAGAAAAAAAGATTACACACACACACATATATATATATATATATATATACACACACACACACGTGTGTGTGTGTGT